GGGTGCATAACGATAGTTTTTCATGTTTTTTATAAAGTACCGAAACATTCCAATTCAGTTTTCACTTTTAATTTTAATTATTGCTTTCCGTTTAGTTACAACCATTTTCATAACTTCATAAAATTCTTAAATTTATATTTTGATCAGATGTGCTCAGATGTTTCATTATTGCGTTTTTTTTTCCACCAATGATGTAGCTGTCAACTTCTTCCATTTTGCCTCTATTTTGAGCGTCTCTCATCCACATAATTCCATATGTGGGCGTTCCACATGGGCTTGTCCACAACATCTTTCGGCTTGTCCCGTGTTCATTTAGCATTACGCAGGGTGCCATTTTGCAACCCGCTTTGTCCATCTGTTGTCTCTCATTCTTGCCACTATGGTGACCAGCAAAACTTTCCTTCTTGGCATTTTCGAATTCTGGCCGACCCGCATTTTTCTTGCTTTGGGCCGTCCACTTTTTTCAAGAACTACGGCCCTCTAACGGCCGCAAATTATCATACACTGTCTTGATAATATCGCTCACGTTAGACTGGGTTGGCAGTATTTCACTGGGAATGTGCTGCAACTTGCTGACAGGCTAAGATGTGCCGCAGCAAGGGTTGTCAAGTTTGTGCTAGCGTGGTTGGCGAGTTGAAATACCCGGACAGACGAACACACACACACACGCACACACACACACATACACACTGACAGAGTTGTTGCAATATGCGTTTTTGCCTCCTGAGCAAGTATGGTGCTTGATTTTCTCAAGGAACTGCTGAAAAAAAAGAAGCATTTTCAGGGAGGAAGAGAGCAATGAGTGCAAGCGCTCCATGGTAAGGCGATTTTTAATAAGTACAATTGCTTCATCATTTTTGTGATTGTTTGTCCCGCTATTTTCGACACATTTGGCAAAAAAAAAAAACATTTTTGAGTAAAACATCAAATTTTGAGTAAAACATGCAAAATAGGGTTCCTTTCATAAGTTGCAGAAATATAGAAATATTTCAAGAAATGTACATTTTACTACGGAAAAATTTCGAGTAAAACATCAAATATTCTGCAAAATGGGGTTCCTTTCATAAATTGCAAAAATATAGAAACTTTTAAATAAAATGTAAGAAATATTTCGAAATAGTAAAATGGAGGGATTGGACTTAAGTGTCATGTGTAAGAAGACATTTTACTCGATGCAGCAGTCTGCCTGTGTTTCATCCCTTAGCTGTAAACACTGACCGAGCATTGCATGAAAGCAGAATTTTGTCATATATAGGAGAAACTAAGACCACGCGATCAGTGTAAATATTTCGTTGAGTTACTGTGACACTTCTATGCACTGGGTATAGCGATGCCAGACCTTTCGATCGTGCATTTCTCCCGTTAATATCCATCGCTTTTATGCGTTTTTGTGTATATGCAAATGCAAAAACGCATATTGTGACGACTCAGTGTGTCTGTATGTGTGTGTGTGTGTGTGTGTGTGTGTGTGTG